GATTCTCCAGGCTCCGCTGACTCTACCAATCAGAATCCTACTGACTATGAAATGAGTTTAAACAACTGTCTGCATGTCAGCAACGTAAATTTAGACTCACACTAATTTTGAAATTAAGACAGTATCTCATTATAGTAAATTTATAGGGAGCTTGGATTCCAACTTCGGAAGCTTTGAATCACAGCTACATTCAACAAAGTAAAGAAAGCATCTCCCTTTTCAGATACTAAGAATGAAATAATTTTCTTAATTTAAGGTACTCCACACTGAGAGCAGGCACACTACTCTAGCATCACAAAAAAAAAACCCATAGAGACCTAGTTTATGAGACCTAGTTTATTGTAAATTTACACATCAACTTATTTCTCATAGACTGCTCTACGTACACAAACCGCTAGCTGTCATTACCTACCCAAGGAGTAACAATAAAAATGTAAACACCAAGACATAGCAGACTTTCAGGCTGACTTGCCCTACTTACAGATTAGAGAGCAGACAGGACAATCCTACCACGAAACTAGAAGGAACCTTACAGAGCTGGGTTTCCAAAAGTGCAAGGGGAGACTCATTTGGGCTTTGACACATGGAAAGCAAAACTGCCTGTCCATGGCAACTCGTATCTAGTGTGTGTAATTCTGAGTTGTGTGCACAGACACCCTTCCAGGAGCATTCCTTGACTCTGAACAAACTCCAAATCCATTGCTCAAAGGCCCCTCCAACTCAGCCCGTGTGCGTCTCGGAACCTACAAGGTTAACAAGTAAACAACATTGCTGTTGACATTTTTAACAACAAAAGCAACACCAGTCCAGGAAACCCCAGCCACGAAAAACCCCCTCGTATAAACAGATGCAAGAATGATCAACACTTTTCCTGCTCCAGAGGCACATAAAACGACCAGATTTTCAAACTCAGAGTGGGCCAGACAGGATGACACTGTGAGAATGATTGAGCCCTGTAGTTCCCACCACTGCAACGGGAGAAGTCAGAAGAGACCTCGGGAAGATGCAGATGCAACAGATGGAATATTAACCAAAAGAGACAGAATAGATCTGAGGACAGCTTGCTTCCACTGAGAAACCAGTAATTCTTTTAGACAATGCCATGTATTTCTGCTATAAAAGACCAAAATGGGCCGCTTGGGCTAGAAGATTGAAGGAGCTTAAAAAGTTCACAATTTTCCTAATAGGTAAGAATACTGTCACACCAGGACTTCTAACTACATCTTTTTATAGACTAAACCAAAACACAATACACTGCAGTACAGGCTGCGAGTTATCAGATCAAGAAACTTTAAGAAATAAATCTGCACATGGAATATTAAAGTGGCCGTTCTGGACCAACATAGCGTCTTTCTTGTTTTAGATATACGTAAATTTAATACTTAAATATTTAAAATACAAAACTTGCACACCGATTTCAAATTAGGACAAATTTTTACAGAACTCGCAAGTGCCCAACAGTGGAATTTTAGCTTTGCATTAGTATTTTAAATTTTAGCAATAAACCAGAAAATAATAAAACAGCAATGGGAAGCTATCTTCATAATTGATCACTTATTATGACTTCCTGGAGCACTAACATCAATTACGCTCGTATGTCAAAACGGTGTTGGCACACTGCCAGCGAAGATCCAGATCACTGCCACTGATTTAATTAATTTATTCCTTTTTGGAAATCAGTCAATGGTACAGTCAACTTTTGGTTGTTAAACATGAATGCAATATTATGAAGTGTAAATGAATTAAAAGCCAGTGTGTCTTTTTTGTGAGTATAAGTAAAAGGGAAATGCATTTTTATAAGTAGTTTCAATTTGAGTCTGCAGTCAGCAGTAGTGACTGGCTGCTGTTAGTCTCTCTCACAAGAAACAGGTGATTTCTGATTATCAGAGTACAATATAACAAGGTACGTACTCGTTCAAAGGCCTTTATTTTTATTTCAGACTCACATACATAACCAGTTTTATCCAGGAACCATCCAAAAGTATGATGTTGTTGATGAAAATTGACATGGCTTTCAGTATCTTATGGCACAAGGAACATTGCTTTTCCTCAGCTACTCGACAGCGATTTTCTGGTGACAGCAGATTGGGTGCTGCTTGCTGTGTAACACATTGTTGCACATGAAAAACCCCCATCAAAACAGGATATCCAAGGCAATCATTTATCTTACGAACATGAAAACATGGTACGTATTCCTAAGTTAAAAGAATGGCCTTACATGCCAGTGCGGGCTTAGGTCTTGCACCAGAGCAAGCCTGACCCCCTCATAAACAACAGTCCATTGGGAGGCTGTTTATTACAGATTTATTGGAAACCTTGTTAATAACTTACTTGTGCTTTTGATAATTCTGTATTCAGTTGCCAGACTTGCGTTCCTGACGAGATAAAATGAACAGGAAATCCTCTATAGCCTTGTCGCTTTTTTCACTAGTAAATAAAACCCAGAGCAACGCTTACCGAATACTAGCTACTGTAAACAGAAGAGAGAAAAAAAGACAAGTATTGCATATTTTAAATAAGGCAACATACAGCCCTTTTTGCCCTCTCCGATTATAAGATGATAAAAGATCACCCCTATAAAGCAGAATGACCGGATTTTGTGGAACGTGGCTGTTTTGGCTCCAAGGTATTTGTAGCGTTATAATATCAGAGCCAGGATACAGCTGCCTTGTGACTAAGACGTCGTTCACTGAATAAGTGCTGTCCAATCCCTCCACGTCACCAGACATCTGTTTCCTGTTTTCATTCTTTCTTTCGCTGTTATCATTTTATCCAAGTTACCCTTTCACCTGAAAACCCTTCAGAAACCTACACGAATCGGCGCGCGCACGCGTGTGTATATCAAAGAAGTGGATTTTTTTACAAAAAGAAACTGCTAAGAGCAATTTGTTCATTTTAATACAAAGAAAGAACAGGAGTGGAAACCAAGTTGCCTTCCCCCCTCTCCTCCTCCCAAAAATACACAATGATACATAAACACTTTTGTCTTCTGGTCTTCACTAACATGACTAACTTCCTTCTTCGCTTCCAGTTAAGTAGCTTTCCTGTTGAGTACCACCACCTCCACAAAATACAATTGTGAATCGATTCATAAAAACAGAAACATTATGGCACAAATAAGGGAAGGCAATAAATACTCTTCCCCCCCTCCAGCTCCTTCCCAAATGGAGGCAGTAGTATTGTAATAACAAAAAAAAAAAAAAAAAAAAAAAAAGAGTATTGCTTGTCATTTTAGTTTCCAAACCAACAATCATCAGGATGCAGAACAGGATACATCTAAAGTGAGAAAGTTATTTACTTCATATTCAAGTTAACGCTGGCTATACTTTTTTTGGCACACGGTATTATTCTTAATGTGCCAAAAAAGTGTTGTGCACCTTATAAAATATGAATGTTAACACCACTAAGACCAAATTCCTGCTATTCACAATCCAAATTTATATTGGTGTTGTTTTGCTGTGTTTCACCTAAACTTAAACCACAAGCTAGGAGAATGACCACTACTGATAGCATCTAACGTGCATTAACAATGGACAATAGAAGCTGAAGAGTAAATTGTCAAAGATTAGTGACTTCACGTTGTTAATCTCTGGATTTCAGATTATTTAATCAGCACGAGAATAGAAGACTTGTTTTATTTTGTTTTGTGATTACAGATGCTCGTGTTCATTGACAAGGCAGTTTGTTGAGTGAAGCAAAGATCTGGACTGGTTGACAGACACCAACAAAAAAAATCATCTGCTTCTTGTTATTCTCTGAAAGAAAAAAGATATTTTGTAAATTTTTTTATTTTTTCCACCTTGAGGCACACAAGTGAAATACAGGTGGTTATACAGGAGAAACAGGAGATTCTGGCACTCAGCGGGCTTCCCCTATGAGATGGGATGGTTTGGCAGCTACAGGAAACTGCAAGCAGCATTTCCAAAGGCACATGAAAATTGGAAAGCAAGACTTATTCTTGTGTTCTGGTCTTCCGGACTGTTTCCTGCATCCTAATAACGAAATTATCCCTATTTTAAAGTCAAATTCAGCTTCCGTTAAAGTTCAGGTAATTATGAAGCATCTCATTAACTTCTGAGGAGTCATATCAAGTTCTGATAGACTGACTTCACCTCCTCTCTCATCTTTCAATTTACTGCTTGGTTCACCATCCCAAATGCTCCATACTAAGCTTCCACTGAGAATACTCTTGCACAGTAATGATACAGTATTCTGGACAGATTGATGAAACAAACAGTTGTTGGAAAATATTTTTCAAGACTGTATCAAGTCGGTGTGACTAAAATAGTCTCCCATAAAAATAAATTTGTTCACAACTTTTCACATCATCTAAATGTTCATGTTCACTGCCACATACTCAATCTGTGATCAAGCCAAAAACTGAACCCTAATGGTGCACTTCGTCCATCGCATCCCTGTCCTTCACGATCTACTGTCTAATATTCACTGACTCTGGATTCTGCTATGTCTTTTAATTAATGACATCACATTTGTGTCTGAACAAGCTGGAAATTCTGTTTGAATAATAAAAGCCATTGATTTAAGACAGCTATCTTACAGTTCTTTCTAACTGCACATCCCGTCTTTCTCAATTACATCTAAAGGAATAAAACAAAGATCAAGACTTCTCAAGCTCTAGTGCTACTAATGAGAGTAGCAAAATTCAAAACATTGCTATGGAATTGAAGAGGTTAATGAATTCTTCTGTACTTTTGTTATTTCTAGTTGCTTTTAATTTTCCCCATCCGAAAATAGATGGCCTACCTCTTCGAGGTATTTAAGAAACTGTTTTCTAAAACATAAAATATAATGCTATGTAATATGATTGTAAAACAAGTATTAGTTTCGTACAGCCATGTTATTGAGTTTAAATTGAGGGGCAGGGGGGAAAGTAAACTAATTATTAGGTCAAGTTACTCTTTAGAATCTTCCTCTGAAATAAATGCAACATCAAAACATTTTGTCTGAAAAAATAACTGGCAAATCATCCCAAGAGAAAGTGCCCGAACACAGACTTTATGTCAGACTCTACACTGTTTCCAAATGTTAAGACTTTTCATACACTGTATTATGACAACAAAAAAAGTTGAGAGCTTCACCAGAAGATTACATAAACAAAAATTTATGTTTTGTCTAGTATAACAAGAGTCTTAAAAAAAACAAACACCACTTCATATCCATTATTTCATACCCAGATGTTTCCTGTACACCTGCAGTAGTCTCCAGTCCGGCATTCATGAGCTGTAGTATTTTAACAGCTTCTCATCAGTTGGTTTTAGAACTTTCTTGTCTGCCATGTTTACAATCCATCCTGGAGCGAGACCAAAAAATATCTGTCTAGGATCCTTGCGTGCGCTTAACATTTTGAAGAGTTCGTCCTTAGTTATGTCTGGTAAGATATAACCGTATTTCTTGGCAAGTTCAAGCCTGGCTTCTGCAACCTTAGATGGATCTGCCAGGTACCCACGACTCCTGGCATCCGTGTAGTAACGGACTAGATCTTCGGGTGGAAGCATTCGCTTTGGAATAGGCTGGCCACGGAGAAAAAACACTACTGGCTTACATAAAATTTCTGTGGGCAAAGATGAGAGAAAATTAGATACTGTGCTTTATGATATATATTTAAAGACATTAAATGACACCTTATTTAGTATTTTGTGCTAGATAAATCAAATTCTTATTCAAAAGTATACAACAAAAAAACAGATCTTAAGAATATTCTTGTTCAGAATGAGAGTGTTTTCCAAGTTTCACTTAACCAATCAAACAACTCTGTTTAACTGATATGTATAGTGACAATCTTGATGAATCACTACTTCTAATACATTTAGAATGCCTACTTCGGAAAGATACAAAAACTAAGCCAGATGCCGCCATTTATTTAAAGTCCTGACTTCCAGGTTAGAAGCAATGCATTTGCATGGCTGTTTGCACAGTGTACCTACAACTGTCAAATTTTGTGTTTCTGGAAGTATTTTAAATAAAGAACCAATGGCATGTGCACCTATTTAGTCATTTGTGAGACTATCCTCTCCTGAGTTTGGTAAATTACATTCCAGATCCTCTTAACCTTAGTATTTTGATTATTTTCTGGATTGGAAAAAAATAACTTGTATCGCTACAGGGTAACGTATTTTGCACACTAAAAACGTCTATTCCTCGTGTTCTCAGCCTCGTTCACACACGAAAGCTTCATTATTGTCCATAAAAACTGCATGAATGAATATTAGGCAGGATGCAGCCTCAAGCAAAGCAAAGCCTCATTCTTCAGTGAAAGTGTTCTGGAAACAATAGCCATTTTGACTGGAACGATCCTGAGCTGCTGTAACTTAGTTTCCTCACTTTAACTGGAAAAGTATTTTAAATTAAAAATATAACCATCCGTAGTGTTTTTTTAAATCTAACTTTTCTCCTGAATTTTCTTAAGGTTATTAAACACGTGAGAAAGTTGGAAGACAAAAAAAATGAAAGAAACAACTTTTTATTAGCTCCTCTCTTTATAAAGTTACTCGGGTTTCTTTAACTGGTTGATTGGTAACTGGCTAATGCCGGTAGGGCTAAACAGGGGGACGATTAAAAAAAGCAAAACTGAGGATGCATTACAGCTCAACATTTTGTAACAAGGTGTTGTTGAAGCTTTTATGATAGAAGAAGTGGACGATTTTCTGGTAAGAACTATGCTTGAAACTTTGATTTGGATCATTTAATCTTCACGCATTCGAAAAGCCAGAAATCAAAAGAAATTCTTACCCAAACTCCTTGGATCGTAGAAAGATGTTGTAACAACACCTCCATTTTTTTCTACGGCTGCAATTGCTAATTCAGATGCCCTCTGCACTTCAATATTTACTTTTGCTGAAAAGATATCAGCGCCCTGTAAATTTCAACACGTTAGAGTAATATTAAAATGAGTATTTTTGGACATACATTTATTCCTCTCTGTAAAGTTGTAGGAAACATTAAATCCCACAAAATATTATGATTTGTCTTGTTCCCTGCAGCAAAACGGATAACCAAATTGCTCACACTCCGTCACTTGGGTTGAATGAAATAAGTCTGTCTGTCCAAAATACTGATACATTTCTTTCAGCGCATTCTAGTCTTCTGTTGCAAAATACTTGCTCGACATCTTGTTGTGGCCCCTTAACTACTATTTTTGTAGTCTCTTAAGCCTTAAAACATCATCCTGGGGATTTTTTGTTAACACACAGTGCCCTCTAGTGGATTTATTACGACAAAAATACCACAGCTAACTAATTTAGAATCATGGAACGGATTGGGTTAGAAGGGACCTTCTAGCTCCAACCCCCTTGTCACGGGCAGGGACACCTGCGACTAGATCAGGTTGCTCAAAGTCCCATCCAATCTGGCCTTGAACACTTCCAGGGATGGGGCAGCCACAACTCCTCTGGGCAACCTGTTCCACTGCCTCACCACTCTGAGAGTGAAGAATTTCTTCCCTATATCTAATTGAAATCTCCCTTCTTTCAGTTTAAAGCCATTGCCCCTTGTCCTGTTGCTACACGCCTTTGCAAAAAGTCCCTCTCCAGCTTTCCTGTAGGCCCCCTTTAGTTACTGGAAGGCTGCCATAAGATCACCCCAGAGCCTTTTCTTCTCCAAGCTGAACAGCCCCAGCTCTCTCAGCCTGTCTTCATAGCAGAGGTGTTCCAGCCCTTGAGTCATCTTGAAAAGCAAAGATGCTTCCAAAACATGGGAAGGACAATCTGACAGCCTGGTTGGCTGGAAAAACTGAAAACCCAAGGCTTCACACTGCCTGAAGTAATAAGTGTCTTCTTATACACATACCTCCTCCACCAGCTGGACACCGTAATCCCTTTTGAGAGGTTGCACTGTTACACCTCTGGCATTAGTGAGCTGCGTCAAGTCGATTGGTTGTGTGGGGTCAACTCTACCCAAATCAATCAGGTACTGCAGCCTCTTAAGACTGAGTGGTTGATACTGACGTCTGACGCTGGGGAAAGGGGAAAAAAAAATGCAACAAACAAAACAATGAGAACTTGTGACCACTGTTAACATAAGAAGCTCAGTGTCTGCATTCTGCAGCATTTCTTTTGCAGGGCTGCAGATCTAGACTCTGTCTTCAGCTATCAACAGTGCTTCTCATTTACTCTTATCACAAGAGTTAAGCGAACAGGAGGAAACGAGCGCTTGGAGATAGAGTTTGAATCACACTTCGAAACTCCTAAGTCATAGAGAAAGCCTTTAATAACCAGGACAGGTCTGTAAGTTATACTGCATGCATACAGACTAGAAACATAAAAATGCACAGCTATTTGAGGAAGTTTTAGCAACAAATGAAACATAAAATTAAACTGTAAGTTTAACAATTCACAAGTCTTTTCATTCTTGAGACTGTCTGCTAGGCGTGGCACGTTTTTGTTACTACTACCTATAACAACTTCTGTATCCACACAGTGCTTTCATGGTCATACCTAAAAGCAACACAATGGTTAGTGATCAAGGTAAAATACATGCTATCTTAGGAAACAAACTCATTTTTAAACAACAACAAAACAAACAGAAAACTTTTGTAATTGTCAACATAGTGAAGGAAATTAATAAAACACTGGCATACAGATCTCCAGCTAAGAACAGTGACTGGTTAGAAGAATAATTTTAAACATTAAAAAGGTGAAAGAGGGATATGGCACACACAAGCACAATGTGAAAAGGGGATTGAAGCATCAAACAAGGCAGAACGTCTGAGGTGAACAATAATGAAAGATGACTTAATGGCTTCATCCAGCAGATTTGATATTAAAGAACTCATTAAGATCCCAAGTGGAACAGATGGAGTGCAGACAGGGAGAGACTGCAGGTGTTGCAGGGCTAAATACAGTAGAGTCATGAAGAGAAGCTGAACTGTTTGGATAGCAGCAGATCAGAGTTTCAGGTGAACGAAGTGAAGAGAAATAACAAAGCAAGGCTTTGGATTACTCTTCCATGCCTAACATCCTCACTCAAGTCAATGTGACTGTTCCAAGTCAGTTCAACAGGTGATCTGCTGTGCGGACCGGCAAAGGGAGGAACAAGCATGTATGGAGGAGCAGTTTGAGAGGAGAAATACACTCAGCTGTAGAAGGAGGGCAGATTGCTACGTATGAGAGATTATCGAAAGAAAAGGGCACATAAGCAGAGCTGTAAAACACCACCAAAAAAAAAAAAGAATTTATTAAAAAAGTAATCTCACAAGAAATGGGAGATTCTGCTGGTAAGGAAGCTAAAACCTGAGAGGAACGCCTCATTTTCAGCTAGGCAGCCTGTTTTGGCATATTAGATTTTGGCTTCAGAAGAAAGATCACGAAAAGCAGACAATGATTAGTTTCTGAGTAAACGTGAAGAAACTTACCTATGTCCCTCATTAAACCCATATTTTGGTATGACCAAATAAAACGGAGTTTGACCACCCTCAAAGCCCAATCGGGGGCGATTTCCTCTTTGTCTTTCTCCTTTGTGACCTCGACCACACTTCCTGCCTCCATATCTTCCACGGCCACGTCTTTTCTCCTTGAAAATAATCAATGATACATTTAGTCAACTACTTTGGAGATAAGTGTCTATAAAACATGAGATTTCAGAGACATGAGCAACTCAGCAAAATGCTGAATCTTGGGGAAAAATTAAGAGATAGCTCTTTTCTAAGGAAAACAACTGTCAGAAAAGCAGTTAATGTGATTTTTGCAAAGCACTGCTCTAGACAGGCACCGCAAATAGTCTTAAAGTTTACATGAACACATGCTGTGATAAAAAGAATACTAGTACTTAATCCTACCTCTTACACCCTGCACTCTTTAAGTTAGATAATTTTCCTGAATTAACTGTTGGTATTTTTCTCCCATTTCATGAGAAAGTTGCTCAGTTCTCAGAAGTTTCCAAATATTGACAATGAAAAAAGAAGGAAAAAAAATTTAAACAAATCATTTCTACTTTAAGGAGCAAGGGAACAGACTATATATGCTATGCACGCATACAACACTTTTCATGGGCTCAGACTTTCTAAAGAGTCTGCAATTGTTGCAGTTTCTACTAAATACAAATCAAGAGAGAAGAACGTATTTTAAACTTCTATTACTTTTTAAATCAAGACTGTGATACTAAGCTATTAGTTTCCTGAGCACTTTAAATGAGCATTGCAGCCATAAGCAATCAGCATAAGTTCAGCAATCCTCTTGCACTCATCTGTTTGTGTCAGCAGAAGCACCAGCGCAGCTCAATGGCGAACAGGATCAAAGAGCTAGGCAAAAGTAAAACCCTTTTTTTTGAATTTAAAATCCAGGTCAGTTGCACCATTCAATACAATTCATGGGTATACAAATATCTATAGGATTACAAGACAGGCAGTAAGCAAGGGTGGAAATGAGCAGCTGGGAGTGACAGCTATCAAATGAAGCAGAGTCCACTCACTCTGACCTAACTATTAAAAACCTACTGCGTAAGGTGACATTATTTAATTCATATACTGAAGAATATGCAGCACTAAGGTTCACTTTGATTTCTTCATGCTTTGTCAGGGACAAGACAGAGTCACAAGCTTCAGAATCTCACTGCCAGGCTGCACACTGTAGAGTTCACTGCTCAGCTCCAAGAGGCACAATCACATCTGTGCGTCGCTTTGATGGATCCATTTGATCTCGCAAAGTGTTTCCCATTTAATCTAACATTCACTGGAGCGTGAATGCACATGGAAGGAGCAATGTCATGTTGCTAACTAGTCTCATATCTGCACAACACAATTCACACATTTGCTATGTCCATTGTGTTCCTCAATGTGAATCAGTCAGGCTGGGAGACTTGTAAAGCAACACATTCTAAACGTTATTTGTGCTGTTTATAAGCTAACTTTGGTCAAGTCACAGCCTAGTCACTGTCAGATCAATAATAATGCAAATAAGTCATTCTTCAAGATTACAGTAAGCCTCTTCACTTCCTCATTTTTTGTATTCAGCACTTGGATAGCCAAACTTCAAGCATCCTAATCCCACAAACCGCTCTATGCTGTTACACTGCAGCACAGACTATCGAGTAAAACTGAGGTCTGAAAGTTGCTCATTACATCATGGCACTCGATTATTAGCCTAACACCACAAAGACATCAAATCTGATGTTTTATGCTTTTCATTGTAAGTCTTCCAAAGTTATGGAGCACTTAACCTGCACTGAAATTTCAGTAGAAAGGTCAGCACAGATACATATTAATGTTTTTTTTTCTGATGTATTTGAAACATCATCTGATCCAAGATGCACATCTTACCTGTATTAAATGGTATGGAGTTCAAGTGCAATTTTACACTAGACTAGACTATACCCGCCACTAAAGGATGCTAGCTCTCTTGTCCCCAGCCCACACGGTACATTTCTTTACTTACACAGTGCCTCTTGTGCTGCCACAAGCAGTTGCGTGGCTCTGCGTTGTACAGGTTAGGGAACTAAACTAGATGAAGACTAATTTTTGTCTCACTGGTTTTCAGTTGGTTTAGTTCCCTGCTCTGGCTCACCACACAATCTCTAGCAGCAGCACAAAATGCACGGCGGGTGTGAGCACCTGGAGACAGAGGCAGGGCACAGCTGGCCCACCCACCCTTTCTGGTAGTTGCCCGTACACACACCAGATTACACGGTGACTTTAGTTTAAACACAAGTACACCGACAATACCTGGTCACAAACGGAACGTAATTAGTAGATTGACCGGATTTTAGATGGTCAGTGAAGCCAACCAAAATATTTGTGGTTCTTTCTTCCCCTGCAGCTTCCCAGCTCCTGTTTGTGCAGTCAAGGGCTCTTAAATCTGCTTATTTCAGAACTTCATTAGTCACAAAATAAAGCTGTCAGACACCAAAAGAAAAATACCAGAGAAACAGAGCTAAAGTCACTTGTACAAACTCTAACTGAAGGTAAATAGCAGTACCATGGAAAAAAAGAAAAAAATACTAACTTCCTACTTGGAGTGGCAAGTTGCTTGTGAAAGACACGGTGAGTATATAAAAAGCTCTACTTTCAAGATCAAAAAGTGTTTTCCTCAACCCAACAGGTACTTTGAAAAACAAAAAGTCCTGAAACAGATCACTGGCAGGAAAACATGTATTTTATGTAAACCTCAAGTTCAGATAATCTCGCAACTTCTATGTGATAAACCTGAGAATGCTGTTTTGGAGCCTGGATTTAGTTTGAAAAACCTTAAGAATCACTTCAGCCCTGTATGGAGCCTATTCTTCCAGCTCTGCTTGACCCTGGCCAAGCTAGGTGTTCACAGCTCCAAGCAAAGTAACTCAAAAGAGGAACCCCAAGAGCTGCAGGGGGGAAGAATTTCCATTGTCTTCCTTTTGTCACAGGTTTACCGGGTTGCAACGATGCAGCACTCAGGCTCTGTAGGCATCTCAAGGGAGCCTTGAGCTCTGACAGGGAAGCGCTGCTTGGTGCTTCCTGACAGTTCTCTATTCCTATGACTTCAGCCCTTGAATCTCATCTCTCTGTTCACTTATGCTTCCCTTAAACTAGGTGGGTTTCTTTCCTTTATTCCTCTATTACTTTACAAGGAGACAGGGAAGACAACATTTAGTTTTGTTTTCTAGAAAGCACTAGCAAAAAGAAGCACTGGCTGGCATCACATTCCTTTTCAAGTCTTTTAACTTTCCCTTTTCAAATGTATTACCCTATCTCATAAACATTCGGTATTCTATATTTTTTTACTGTTTCCCCTCGCCCCCCAGCGATGGCCCTGAGGTTTAGCTAGGGCCATTCATCAGCCAGTTCTCTGTGGGGACGACACACACGCCGACTACAAGACATGCTAAGGGTAAGAACAGGGATAAAAAACCCACAACACTGACACCAACTCCTCTGCCTT